AAGAGATTCAATAGGTGAAGCTCCTCAGGAATATCAAAAGAAATGTGTGACAGAAGAAAGAACTTTTATTTTGGCAGTTAAATTGAATTTTGAAGAAGTAAAAACTCAAATAAATCATATAAAGGTTCCCGTTGAGGAAATCAAATCTAAAGTGGAAAACAATAAAGAAGACAAAAAAAAATCTTGAAAAAGAATATAGACATTTCCAATATTGAATTTAAAAGATAGTGGGATAATCTAGTTCTTAAAGCACAAAAACAAATGTAAAATTGGATAAGGATAAACTCTTACAGTCAGGAAGTCGGTCCCAATGTTTAGGTGGAATTTCCTTTCCAGTAGTTTGAATTTGTAGCTCTGTATCTTGTTTTCTGAAGCAGCAGAAAACAAGCAAGGCCTCATTCCAAATGGTATTTAAAGCATGGTGTTTTGCAGCTGTGAGCACAAAGCTCTTTTGCTGCATCTGCAAGGGTGTGTGTGTGTGTGTGTGTTATGCTAGCCACCTCAGTCTTCATCTCCCCCATGGGTTTGGTAGTCTTACTTCCAACTCCTCCTATTGAGAATCTTGTTGCTCTAGAGAAGCTCTCAAAGTGAACACAGCTGCCTATCAGATATCTGTTCAGGTGGGTCTACTTCATCCTTAAGCAATGAACTTGGGAGGGGAGAGAAAAAATCACTCCTCTCCCCATGGTTCACCTCCCCTAAGTGAAAGGGACCTAGTTTCCTTGAATAATTTATGGAAATGCCACACAAAGTCTGGAGCATGGATTTCAGAGTCCTCCTCCTAGAATTGCACCTCAGGTCCATATCTATCCCAATCTATAAGATGTTGCCAATGCCACAATGAGAGCGGGCATCCAAGATCTTGGTGAGCTGATAACTAAGGGGACTGATGAAATACAGGGTGAATGCACAGGGATGAAGGAAGACGAGTCGAAAAGTGACCAGGTTGATCTGGACCACAGTGACAAATTGATAAATGAACTGTGTATCCAGATTGCATCTGGAATGATGCAAAGGAAGATATTTGGTGGACAGCCCGGTATTGTCACCAATGTGAAGCAGAAGAATCCTGGCTGTAGGCCTCCTTGACTTGGTCAAGCTGTTCTTGGAGGATGGCCTGCATTGCTTGAAGTTCCTGCAAGAACAGGTCTGCAGTGTGCAAGAAGTGTCTGAATATTGTCGAAAAGGAAGAGCCTAGGACGACACTCTTAATTCGCAAAGAATGGAGTCTGTGTAGTCAATGAGTGTTGCAGATTGTTCACAAATTCAACTATGGGTAGCAATTCCATCCAGTTATCTTGTTGGCAGTTCATATTGCACAGGAGGAATTATTCCAGGGTGCTTCACCCTGGAGAATTCCTCTAAAATATTTGCAAGGCTATCCTGGAACTGGTCCACCAGAGCTGTTTCTGTCCTGCTCTTAACTCTAAGCAGAACTGCATTCAGAAACAATCCATTCAGGCCCCATCTACATTGCCATATAAAATCCAGATTATTTGATTTGAACTAGACAATATGGCAGTGTAGACTCATATAATCCAGTTCAAAGCAGATAATGTGGATCTGGTTTTATAAAAAATGTAGATCCAGCTTCAGAGTATCTTACAGCAAAGTGTCTGAGGCAAAAAATCAGAACAAAGTCCAAGTAAAAGAATCAGTAACAATCCAAGGTCATAAAGCCAAGTTGTATAACTACCAGGTGGGGGATGGAGTTGAAAATTCCTGAAAGCTGGAACTTGGCCAATATTTTTTCAATTTCCAAAGCAGATCAAGATAAAAAAATAATAATGATGATAAACTATTTTCTTTCTTAAAGGAGGATGACATTTTTGTCAATATAATGCAAAATTAAAGATATGTTTGCAATTTTATGAGTATCAAAATAGAAAATAAATCCAGAAACCTAATTATATAAAGTGTTAGAAGGATATTAAAATGATTTAGAGAAAGAGAGAAAGTGAAATAAACTTGTCCTTGACAAAAAGCATCATGGTAATGAAAAGGAGTATTTTTACCTAAAATAGTTTTCCTCCCAAATTATTCTAATACTAATTCCAGACACTCATTCTAAACACTGGCAAAAGGACTTGTCAGATTTTATTTGGAATGGGTGAAAACCAAGAATAAAACATAAAATATTGATAGAGTTGAAAGAAAGAGGAGGAAGATATTGCATGCTTATCAGACTGAGATAAGATACATTTTGTCTATCTGAACAGCTGCACTGAAGTCTGCAAGCCAGCTCAACATATTGGCAAGCAATGACATCTGCTGGACAAAGTCAGAACAAATAAATTCTTAGGCTGATGTTTCTCTCCCCCCCCCCCCCATTGTTATTCTGCGTTGCATTACTTTTTTTAAAAAAAAAGTGAATGTGTGTGTGTTTTACGAAAATGTAAATTATTTGATAGTATTCTTTTTGATTTCTCTTGTTTGGATTATTATATAATATTACATAGTAACATCTCTGGTAGTAGTAAAAGTAGTTATTGTTTCATTTCTTTTTGTAATTTTTATTTCATCATCCTCACATATTGTTAAATTGTATATTAAACTTTTTGGTTTTGGTTTTTTTTTTTGCTAGGTGTTTTTAACATTTAGTTTACTTTTTAAATTTTAGTTAGAATTGAAGAATTATTTTGGTACTTCTCCTTTTTCGTTTAGGGATTGTATGAATACTCTTGCAATTTTTCTTCTTTTTCTGTTTTCCCTACTTATTGCTAGTGCAATAAGTATTTAATTTTTTTATAGAGCGGAACATTAATAAATTGATAGTGGTGCACCAGTTACATTCTTCTCGTTTAGGATGTTGTTGCTAAATTTTACTGTAATGTTATCCTTTGTTGACTTAATTTTCTGTGTGTAATGCAAATGTTACAATGCCTGGCTTTAATAAACAATGTTATAATTCAAGCTTAAAAGTATCTTATTTACAACAGCAGCTTCCTTTTCCATTCTCCCTCTCTGTCCACCTTCCGCAAAGAATTAAAGACGTGGACATTTTGCTGTGCTTTTGAGTAGATAATTCCTTAGATAGCTGGCCCCAGGTAGGACCCAAAGTTTTGTCCTCTCACTTTACTGCTGCCTCATGACCCATCACTTTATCTATTAGACTTATATTTTAAGTTATTGTTGCACCAGTCTGCACACCCATGACAATAAACTGAATTTTGTAATTGGTTGTTGATTTTGATGCTTGTTTAATATTGTTATAATGCTGTTGTTTTATTTTGTTTTATATTGTTGTTATGTATTGTAATGTGTTACATTTTAATTGTCTTGATTGGGCTTGGCCCCAGGCAAGCCTCRAGTCCCTTCAGGGAGATGGAGGCAGGGTACAAAAATAAAGTTATTATTATTATTTGAAACMCAACAAGATGAGTCCACAGCAGACAAGATCACTCTGCTGGCTGTTGTATTGGATCACATGTCGGACACTTCCCAAGTGTCTAGGACTGTGTGATGTATCGGCAAAGAATGCTTGTGGATCCCAGTAAGGTGGCTTTCTGCAGCTGGCAGATGGTCATTTTGTCAGCGCATATTGTGTTTAAGTGCAGGTCAAGGTTTTTAAGCACTGCACCCAGTGCACCGATCACCACTGGGACCACCTTTACTGGCTTTTGCCAGAGTCTTTGCAGTTTGATCTTTAAATCCTCATATTGTGTCAACCTTTCCAGTTATTTCTCTTCATTTCTGYTGTCACCTGGGATTGCAACATCCATGATCCATACTTTGTTTTTTAACATTATTGTGAGGTCAGGAGTATTGTGCTCTGTCTGTCTGAATTCGGAAGTCCCAGAGGAGTTTGATGATCCTTCTTCTTCTTCTTCTTCTTCTTCTTCTTCTTCTTCTTCTTATTATTATTATTATGTGCACAGCTGGCTGGGCGTCAGCTGCATTAAGATCACTACTGACCAAAAGGTCATGAGTTCGAAGCCAGCCCAGGTCAGAGTGAGCTTCCGACCAATTCGTTTAGCTTGCTGTCAACCTTTGCAGCCCGAAAGACAGTTACATCTGTCAAGTAGGAAATTATGGTACCGCTTATGCTGGGAGGCTAATTTAACTAATTTATGAGGCCATAAAAATCTCCAGCAAGCATGCAAAGTACTTCATCAGTGTCACAAACAGATGGTGGCTAGAATGCCCTCATGAAAAGCTGGAATATTAAATAGCCTCTGAGTGTCTGTCTATATATGTTGTGTGTTTATGGCATTGAATGTTTACCATGTATATGTACACCCCTGCGGGGTGAGAAGGGCGGAATATAAATACTGTAAATAAAAAAAATAACACATTTTTTAAAATTAAATTCTTGAGACCACTAATTTACTTGATTCAGACTTGCCAGGGAGGTTGTTGTTTTAAAAAAAAATCTTTGGTAAAGTTCTCAATGGTAATTAAATCCTATGGGAGGATTATAAATCAGCTCGGCACAGACCATTTCATTTCTATAGAATAATTTGCATTCAACCCAGTGTCCAACCTAGATTAACATCTCCGATGTATACCTTTGGACTGCCCTTTCTGACAATCCCCTCTTGGCTTGAATGCTGTGAGAATTAATTCTTGAATTTTGGGCTGTCTGAGCCATGTTCTTGCTTATCAACCCTGCAAAAGTCTTGGATTCAAGTAACACAGCTTTTCCTTGTCACTTTCTGGAGATCTTACGTTTACTCCTTTGGGAACATGACAGTTTTAAATAAGTCAAAAAGGAAGAGGATGTAAAAGATGGCAGTGGCAGAGTAAACAGCAGTACCTTCAGATAGTAAAACTTCAGAGCATAGCTCTCAAGCAGTATTTATGCTCAATGGGAAAAACATGCCTGACATGCCATGCCTGTATGTAAAATATGTATTCTTAGAAGGTTAAGACTGCAATAACAATTTAGCAACAAAAATGCATTGCAGCACTAGCATAAAATCCACAAAAAGTCCCAGTGAACAGAACATTGCTATCACTGAAATGAAACTGAAATAAAGTAAGGAAACACTTCTACTCACCAGGAGGATTTTCCTTTGTGGTTTCAACAGCTTAGGGTTTGAGAACGTGTTGGATCTTGGTGCTGTAATAGGAAATCACAGTGAATACCTTCTAGGATATTCAGTAGCATTTATTAACTTTCATAAACCAACCAAAGGCATGGAAAAAGAAGGCAACTACTCTACAATTCAAGAATAGTTTGTGTTTAGAAACGACCAGCAATTTATGCCATCTGGGATAAAAAGCAGTTGTTAGATGAATTCTTCAAGATGAAAGCAGCTAAGTATCCTGTCCTCTGCTAGGACGCATTCATACTCAATTGTGGGAGTGGATTATGCAGATTATGACACCTGCCCAGCCCACGATGGGTGAAAAGGTGGACAGAAGTCATCTTCTTCAGAACCTGCATATCTCTGGTAACTCCTTTCTACAACAATGGTTGATTTGTTGGGAGTTCGGTCTACAGGGAGTCTGTTCTAAGAAACCTCATAAATGAATGCATGCCTGCTCAATCTGTGGTAGCCTGCACTCCCTTTGGCACTGTCCACATGGATGCAGACTGTCAAGCAGTTTGAAGGATTCCTCCAGAGGGAAGGAGAGTCCAGACAATAACTTTCCATATCACAAAGGATTCCAGTCTACTTAAGACATAAACCCCGTTATTTTGGCTATCCTTTTACCCTAATGTTAGGAATGGTAAGTATTTAAAGAAAGGATTCCCTGAGAGATGTAGGATTCCTTACACTGGAAAGTGGAAGCACTTCTGGGTGAGGAACAAGCCATGAGATTATAGTCAAGAGAGAACAAAATCATGAAGAAGTGAAAGAAAATCAATCATAGGTCCTTTTGAAACTCTGCATTTACAATTCTGAGGGTATCCCCAATGAGGTTATACTTAAAAAGTCTGGTGAGAACCAGAAATGGGACATAATCCATGGAACAAAGGACTTTCCTGGATCTCAGCGGGAATCCAGTTGCCCAGCAGTTCCCCTCCAGGAGTCTCAGATATCTGTGTGACAAATGTCCAGGATGGAACGGTTATCAACAAATATACAACTTTGGAACCATTTCTTTGTCTCCTGGCATGGGGAGATGTCTGGGACAACAACTCCCATTGTGTTCTCTGGCAGGGTCTGGTATCTGCATAATCCTGTCAAATCAGCTTTTGGACTTCTCTTTGTTGTCTACACTCCAACGTCTTCTCAGCTGGGCCTCCCTGCCCAGCTGGGAAGAGATCTCCAGCTATGCCATTGACGCCTTCTCTAATCAGAGTGAGCAGCAGCTAGGAGGACACCAGCCGCCTTCTCAGTGCCAGCCAATTGGGGGAAAGGGAGGGAATTTCAAAACAGTGATGGAAACTTATGTGCATAAAAATGTCTGCTTATAATCATGCCTTTACACTTGAACCCTTCAATCATCCATGCTGTACGAGTGTCCCTTTTGGGAAAATTGAATAAAGCCTCTGTTGTTTGCCTTCAACCTGGTGAGATTCTTGGTTTCTGATTTGTTATCCGCAGCTAGCAAATCTTGCCAGGCATCCCTCAGAAAACCTCAAAATTTTTGGCATCAGGTTCAGAGAGATGGGGTCCGGGCTAAACTAGTGACATAGGATATCAAATGTGCCTTTCATTTGCTCCTTGTTTATCCATCAGATTTGAGCTTCCAGGTTTTGAGTTTGATAATATGGTCTATATGGATCGTGCTTTGCTTTTGTTCCGTATTCTGTTTGGCATTCAAAAAGTCCAACTCTTTCCTTGAATGGCCCATCAAATTCAAGACCAGAAGCAAGGGCATAGTTCATTGCCTCAGTGATTTTGTACTTATAGGCCAGCATATAACAGAGTACTGTGCATATCTTCTTCTGCAATTTATTGGTCTCATGGACCAATTGGGTATGCCTCTGGCACATGAAAAGACTGAAGGCCCCTTTCAAAAACTGATTTTTTGGGCATTGAAACTGAGAGTTAATCAGTTCTCCAGACTTCCTTTAAACAAGACTGATGACATGCTCAGTGGTGTTGACAAATTATTGTCACTCACAAAGCTACACATAAGGAATTTTAAGTTAATTGGGGATTTTGCATGTCGAGTAGTTGTTCCAAGCCAAGCTTTTCTCTACTACCTTTGTGATGCTATCAGTAGCATGCATTCCCTCATCACTGAATTTGAATTACAAAGGAAGTGTAATTAGACCTTTTGACCTGTCAGTCATTGCTGTGTGACTTTAATGGGGGTCTCTTTTAATGGGGAGGTCAAATTACACAGTGCCTAGCAAGTTGCTTCCAATGCCTCTGAAATTCTTGTTTATTTCTACAGACACTGATGTGGCCAACACTGGCTAGAGGCTTGGTTCTCATTGGGAATCACCTCCAACTTCACATTTTTGGAGTTTTTCCAAATCTCGTAGCACTAAAAGTGTGGTCAGCAGAATTTTCCAACTCTGCTGTATATTTTTGGTGCAACCATGCATATCATTAACACTCTAACATCCTGCTCTCAGAGGGTTATGATTTTAGTCACAGAGCTTACCTTACATTGTCTGCATTGCTATATATTTTTCACTACATTATCCATGACTAGATTGGAAAACAGAATAGCTGACTCCCAGTTTCAGATGCAGAACTTCAGGCAACTGGCACCAAAAACTGCTTTCAACTCAGAGCCGTTGGCCACAGAAATATGGAATCTTGGCACACTGAAATAGTAAATGCTATTGGCTTATCATTAGCCCTAGTACTAACAAGGCATACAGGCAGGCAATCTGCTCTTAGTAGTTTTGGACACAGTGAAATATTAGGTGACATTTGGTCTGTCAGTGTTGAACATGTTTTAGAGTTTTGTGTTTTCTTGCACTGGAAGGGGCTGGCTGGACATTCTGTCTGGATGCATGTTTCTATCTTAGCCTTTTGGTTCAAAACGTCAAAATATCAAGACTGTACTAACAACACTTGAGGCACTTGAGGAGTAGTCTAGGGAGACAGGTAAGGTTTTAGACACTCATCAATTTCTTTCTTCCAGTATTCTCAAAGGACTACCTCTTTTATGGCTTTTTCTTTGCTTGTCGCTTCATAAAGCTAGTGAGTTTCATGCTGCTTCCTTGTTAGCCTTTTTTTTTTACAGCCGTGCGCCTTTGCGAGTTGGTAGTACAGGGAGTTTGGTCAGGAAAAGCACTGGAATTTGGAGATATTTCCTTAGCATGCAGTACTGTTTCACTGAGGATTCAATCATCTTACACAGATCAAAAGGGCGAGGGTTTGATATTGAAATTAAAGCAATGTCCAAATGTTGATTTATGCCCCTCATGCGCTCTTGAATGCTTTATACGTTTGAGGAGTGTGCGTTCTGGCCCTTTCTTTTGTCGTGCCTCTCTGTCTTTCTTGACAAAGTACCAGTTTTGGTCAGAGACATCCAGGGCCCTTCATAAATTGGGAGTGAAATATGGCACCATTTGCATTGGGGAACTTCAACTACAGGTACCATCAGCATCAGTCCACATGGCATTAAATTGATTGGGCACTGTAGATCCTCAATGTTTCACAAGTATATCTGGCTTTTTTTCTTTTGCAGATTCCAGGTTGTTGTCGGTGCCCGTATACCAGTGAGTCCTGATTTTCAGCCGCAGTTTCATCTATTGGGCTGAGTGTCAGTCTCATAGGAGTCATTTTGGCAATCACCTTGGGGTGGATGATATGGCTGCTGTTGAATGGTTCAGGAGGAGGGACTCGTGCTGGAATGGCCTTTAGCTCCTGTTATTTCAGGAGCACTGTAAGCCATCTCTGCATGTTTTGGTTATCCATCTTGAGGGCAACAACCTGGGTCTTTTGGCTGGTAAAGCTCTTATTATTCAGACTATAAAAGATCTGGGTAGGATTCGGGATAACTGGCCATACACCAAACCAGTATCTACTCATCTTAAGGCAACATATGCCCGGGGGGGGGGGGGGGGGGTGGATGTACATCATTTTGATATAGTTTGTAAGCAAGTCAATAATGAAGTCAGACATGTCTTATTAAATTAGTTGAGAATTTACATCACCTGCCTTGAAATTACTCACCAATGACCTGAATTATTAGGTGTGGAGCTGTTTCTTGGTGAATTGTGACATGGTATAAAAGTCATTATTTGTGGTTCTGATGGAGAATAGAAGATATAGTGGATTCTGGTCCCTATCGTGATGGATGGTGGGGAGAACCACAGTTCAGTGATACACCTACTGGCACATTTTGTGTGGGATGGAAATTTAGAATTGTATCTGTGTATCTTGTAATATTGGGGTTAAGAAGAATCTCTTGTCCTTGGGGCTGGTCTCTTGGTTTTTAGTTTTTGTTGTTGTTGTTGTTGTTGTTTTGGCTTCAGCAGGGAACTTACACCCTCTGACTAGCCTTACATTGTATTAGATAGACTGGTGAGCAACGATGATTCCCAGGAATTTATCTCAGGGGAATATTGTGTTTATAAAGCTGCTCTGGGTGACAAGCCATTATAGGCTATTACATATAGACTATTACATACCTTTACCTGGAACAGCAGGAGGTCGCTCAACCTTTTTCTTCCTTTTTATTTTTATAGGTTGAACTGTGGACAAGCTTGTCACACTAGTGACTGTCTCTCCTAAGCTGAAAAGCAAGAAATACCTTGGTAAAGAGAGAGCAGTGGAAGAAATCCCAGCATACAATACAATATCGTACATCCAGGATATTTAGTTTGAAGGAATAATAATTTAAAAAAACTAAAAAATCTTCCCCTCACCAAATTGCTAACAGAACCATATTTCTGTATCATCAGGTCCAGAAATGGGAGGATCATGTTTTAAAAGCAATATTTTAAGAAAAGAAGAAATGTATCATGCTGTTCATTAATACAGAATTACTTTTTTTAAAAAAAATATTTTTTTTAAAAAAATTAAAATATATTATAATAAAATTGTCCCAAATTTCCAGACCACTTCATCAAGTTTTAGATATTAAGACATTGGGAAAACTACACTACATTACACTAGGAATATCAGTGATATCTTACTTTTTAAAAGTAATGATACTAGTAAAATGGTAAATTCCCCCACCCCTCCCAGTACTTTGAAATATGATTTCTCCCAATCCCAATTGAGTCCAGCTACACTGCTTCATAGTCTGAGCGTAGAGAGGGAACAGTATAAAGCAGGTGTGCGCTATTGTAATATACGTGAAGATGATGACTATTAATTATTTTCATTTTTGTGATGCACAGGAGTTTCTCATGGTATCTCACTCCACTGAGTACAATTTACTATTCAAACATGAGTAATAAACTGTCAATCAAGGCAACATTCCATGCATTTGGAAAAAGATTTTAGTCCAAGAACAGGGGTGCCAGTCTCCTCAGGCATAGTGAAGTGATTGCTTCAAGATGGAAGATGTCAGAACTGACAAACTGTGATTTTCCTTTTTTTTTCCCCCATCCCTTGCCCTGTGAGATGGGTCCTGTCACCGGTATAAAAATGGGGTCATGAATAGCAACTATAAAGCAAATTACATATTATTCATAGAAAACAGTCAAGGGATCAGAAGTGGGAAAGTTTAAGAAGTCCTGGTCTAGCCCACATTTTACTGGGTTATTTGGAGGAATATCGTGGGTGGAACTTTGGACTCAGACGAAAAAGAGAGGTAAGAGATAGGTGTTATCATCTTTCAATGTGTTCTAGCCTATGGTTAGAGATCCAGTGACTGAAGAGGAAGCAGGAGGTGAGCTCTACTTGGGAAGAGATTGACTCTTGGTCACCTGACTCAGCTGGGCCACTTGGCCTTTCTAAGGGCTGAGCCAGTATCAGAGCGGGGAGAAGCAGCTAAAGGACCTGTGAGATGTTTGCCTGTTTGTTGGATCATGTGGCAAACTAAATCTGCAGCAAGTGCAAATGGATTGCTTTATTGGAAGAGAAGATCAGCAACTGGCAGTTCAAATCATTACACTTAAGGACATTAGGATAGCATAGAGAAGCGTTAGTACACCTGTAACATTTTTTTTGTGGACTGCACACCTTTTCAGAAGATCTCACCTCACTTTCTGTCCCTGTGTCAACTGAATTTGGAACGTTTTGGGTTGTCGTAGAAACAAGGACTGGTGATAAAACTTCAGTGGAGACACTTTTTTCCCATGATAGAGGAGTGACTTTCCCTTCCTGGGGGTAGATTGCCTCTCACTTCCTGTTTTCTCACCCCCAACATTAGTACAAGGAATATAAGTAGGATGTTTGTAACTTGGTGATTGCCTAGACACTGTCAAAAGAATCTTCTAAACCTTGTTGGTTTCCAAACCTTTGACCATTTTACCTGCCCTTCTCTGGACACGTTCTAGCTTGTCAATATCCTTCTTGACAAGTACAAGAAGCCAAGGTGACTCTAACACCATTATTGAGACCAACTAAAGACCCTTCCACACAGTTGTATAAAATCTACACTCAACTGGATTATATGGTAGTGTAGACTCAGTTAACCCAGTTCAAAGCAGATATTGTGGATTATCTGCCTTGATATTCTGGGTTATATGGCTGTGTGGAAGGGCCTTAGGCCTGCTCAGACGAGCGTGACTGTTGGAACAGGAAGACTGCTGCATACCTGCCTAAGCATGATACCTTGCCTTTTTCCATATTGAAATTCATTTTGTTAAATCTAGCCTGACACTCCAACCTGTTGAAATTATATAATAACAATGAAATATAATGTCACCTTTTGATATGTGAGAATCTCTCATTAATACCAAACATGGATCACCCTTTGGAGGAGTTGCTTTGGGTGTGTATTCAAAGGTAAGTGTTAAGTCTCACAATCAGGAGGGGAATAAGAGTTTGGGGGCTTCATTTATGCTTGCCAACCACCTTCCACTGGTTAAGGAAGAATACATCTTCTAAGGAGGAGGATGTGAAATACATTATGAGAAGGGGGTCTTTGAATCATTTAAACACTCTTTTTGTAGGTCAGTGTGTAATTGGACATTGACCACTAAAGACAATGTTGTTAGACGGCTTTGTACAGACACAATGGTGGCAAAGAGTATATTATCAATTTCACCAATGTGGGTGGAGGTGAGGTTGGGACTCTAGTGTCTAAAAAACCTTGGAGGAACTTCTCCCCATGGTGTTGCAATCAGGACAGTCTTTGAAGTTGAAGACTAGCCTTGATTATTTTATCACTAATTAACTAGCTCCCCAAATTGTATTCAGCTGTACCATAATAAGTTTTCTTAAACTAGAAAAATAAATTAAAGTATTCCTTTGATTAAAATGGAATAAAATGCAATATTAAAAAGTGACAATCTTTTATAAGTGAAACTCCTTTTCCTACCTGTTCTGGGAATATTTCACCAAGTAATGTTTCACTGTGAAAAATGGTGAAGAGGGAAAAAAGAAAAACAGAAAACAGGAAGAAATCAAAAAATGGAGCATGCTAATATCCTGCTCCGGTAACCAAACATGGTTAATTGATATTTAATTTTTACAGTTTAAAGTCCAACAACATGCAAGTATATCCAAATGTCCACAAGGTGACAGAGGAAAGGCAACAACATGCATCAAATCTTAATCTTTAGTCAGGCATGTACAAACAACATGGCCCTAGAAAAGATGAGGAGCCATTTTTTTGCCATATTTGTACCCTGTCCTTCTCAACTCCGAGGGGGACTCAGAGTGGCCTTACACGTCAGCAACAATTCAATGCCATAAAACAACATACTATTAAACTAACCTCACATTAAACAAAAGAATTAAATATCTAAACATTATACTAATTATTGAAACCACACAGTCCACGATTGTAATCTGGAGCCATTCCAGTTGTCTTTGCACAAATTCTATATTCATTTATTTCACTGCAATTACTCTCCGAAGGCTTGGTCCCATAGCCATGTTTTTACTTTCTTTCTGAAGGGCAGGAGGGTAGGAGCTGATCGAATATTACAGTCAAGGGGCCACCAATGAGAACGCCCTGTCTCTCGCCCCAAACCAACTGTGCCTACGAAGGAGGTGGGACTGAAAGCAGGGCCTCCCCAGAAGATCTTAATCTCTAAGATGATTGTCTGAAAAATAAAGTAGTTAGAAGCTGCTACCACCTCTCACTAATAGGATTAAAAACATGTTTATCTTTTCCCCTGACAACTGAGTGTGTACACATCAGAATTGCAAATCTTCTGAGTGTTTTCTGCATTGGGTGGCTGGTTCGTTTTGCCTAAAGTGAACCCTATCAAAATTCCCGAATATTCTAATATCATTAGACTAGAAGTTGGGATATTTTTACAGAATCTATTCAGTATGTCAAAGCTAAGCATTTATCACAACACCATCAAAAAAATCTTCTCAATCTCGTTTCTTCTTGTTGCAGGATCAAACAGCTAGCATTCACCCTTCGTGTTATTCCTGCATTAACTAAAAAAGCCTGCCCCACATTTTAAAGACACAATATGCCACTTGGCATTGCTACCATTCACGCTTTCCCATGGTTTGGATTTTGTCCTAAAAAAGTAGAATCCACCTATCTCAGCACTTCTTCATCACTTACCACGGGACTGTTTCCTGTTGAGCAAAGTCTGGCAGAAGATTACAAGAGTGAAGAGCAGAAGACTAATGATGCCTATGGAACACACGAAAACAGCAATCACATAGATATCTGGAAGAAATGTGGAGAAAGAGAATCAGATCAGATCAGATCATATATATATATATATATACATAAAATCCAAGAAGAAAACCTTTATTTTGCTGCACAGCAAGAACCATGCTGATGTGTAAGCATACATTGGTATAGCTTCTCCCAATTTTAGAGATCCTCAGGCTCTCTCCAGCACTTGTTTTGTTATATGAAACTATTTTACTACAGCATTGTATATGTGTTGAGTTTTATCCCTGACTGCAAAAGTTTCTTGTGTCATCAAGTTTTTAGTCCTCAATGAGTAGCTATGCTAGAGACAAGGCTAAGGGAGGGATTGCTTCCCCCACATTCCTATGCATGTTTCCCAAAATGGCTTTACTGATAGCTACTTTCTTTTCCCCTTTTGATAACGTAGTTATGGAATTTCTGTGAGGGAACTTCCTCTTAAGTTTAAACTGCCCTGGGTTGACCATGCGGTCTCCACCATTTTGGGGACTTCTGCTTTTCTTTCTTCCAGCAAGGACGCATTTTGCCTCTCTCTAGGCAAAATGTAGCTGCATGGACTTTTTACGTTTTATCTTCTTTAGAAGATAAGATTTAATAAGCTAGTTAGCTCCAAGACCTTTTCTTTGGATCTGCAATCCTGTGCCATCCTAAGGAATAGAAGCTTATCCCAGCTCACCCCACGTAAGTTTCTGATGGTTAAGGAGTTTACTCCTGGTATTCTGCTATATTTATGGTAGAATTGCTAAAAACTGAGGGTTATTTTTGAGCCTAACAGCTCAGATCCCCCAACAAATTGGATTTGAGTATCCACAGATTTTGGTATCCACAGGAGGTCCTGAAACCAAACCTAAGAAATATCAAGAGCCATCTCTATGTTATTTCATAGATTTCAAGGGCTTTGTTTGTTTGGATATTGATTTGAAATTTCAAACAGATGGTAGCTTTTTATGGAACATTTATTGTATTGGTTTCAAATAATTCAGAGTAATCCCCATTGAATTTAGTTTGCCATCATATATTCACATATCCCGATGAACTGACAACTACATTTCCACATGTATGCTCCTATGGAGCAAGAGACTATGCTGATAGTAGCAGTGCCGCTAATATGGTCTCTTATTTCAGATAAGCTGTTGCTAAGAATCCAGACTAATTGCAGTTCTACACAGCCATTTAAACCAAATCAGGATATGGAATAAAAAGAATCAGTTCACTGTGGCATGTCTACTGGAGCACCCCAAGAGCCAGTTGGAGGCTGGGATGGTGGCGACAAAGATTAATTATTTATTTATTTCGGGCATTTATATCCCATCCTATCTTGATCTCCGCAGAGGGACTCAGGGCGGCTGACAGCAAAAGCATAAATATACATCTTAGGTAAAAACAGTATAAAACATCATAAAAACAGTAAAACCTTAGAATAATCGTCAGAATTAAATCATCATCCTACACACAGTCCATTCGAGTCCATCAGAGTCCATTAAACCATAGCTCTACCATCATGTCGATCTAGTCCACAAAGGTCTGATCCCACAGCCAGGATTTCACCTTTTTCCAGAAGGTCAGGAGAGAAGGAGCAGATCTGATTTCACTTGGGAGGGAATTCCATAGCCAAGGGGCCACCACAGAGAAGGCCCTGTCTCTTTTCCCCAACAGCCGTGATTGCAATGGTGGGGGGACAGCGAGTAGGGCCTACCTGGATGATCTTAAGGTCCTAGGTGGTTCATAGCAGAAGATACATTCGGACAGGTAAACTGGACCAGACCCGTTAAGGGGTTTATTTATTTATTTATTTACTTTGCTTATAGGCCTGATCTGCTGATTCAGGATTGATCTGAACCCAGGAATATTTTTGCCTTGTCCAAGTGGCTGTACTGATGGGCATCAGCATGATGAGCACTGAGGAGCAATAGCATTACTGGTACTCATGGGAAACAGCATACCCAATCAGCACCAGCACGAGAGCAAGGCAAGGCATAGCAACAAAAGCGTGAAAAGTGGGCATTCCCATGGGAACGCTGTGGTATCCTCTAGGGGAGGAAGTGTTTGCTTACCTTCCATCCAGCTGTGTTCTTTGTCCTTTAACAACCTATTTACTGCTCTACTGGAGAGAAGGCAAGGGGTACAGCAAGAGAAAACGTCATGGAAATCACCCATAGCATGAATGGGATTGGATGGAATAGGCTAAGCTCAAAGGGATATTTGCCTCTAAGCTCCTAAATATTTGGGAATTACTAGAGATTTTGCTTGTCAGTTATGATCCCTCATACACTGATATGGAACAAGTGTTAGTAAGACTGTATTGTCAATGGCTTTCATGGCCAGAATCACTGGGTTGTTGTAGGTTTTTCGGGCTGTATGGTCATGTTCTAGAAATGTCAGGAGACAATGCTTCTAGAACATGGCCATACAGCCCAAAAAACCTACAACAACCCACTGTTAGTAAGACTGTTGACTGGTGAGGACAGAATTCACCTTGGTCCTTGGAGTACCAATGGAGGATAGAGACCAAAATCAAGAGGAGGGAGGTGCGGCAAGGACAAACTGGTCAACTGGTGAAAGAGCCTTGTTGACATCTGACAGGGATAGGTTATTTGTGTATTAGGAACAAATGGCTCAGAGCCTCCCTGATTTCTCCGAATTTTCTCATGTGAAAAAGACCATTAGACATGAACCTACAAATTCCTCGGCAATTATTGCATTGACTTACTGAAAAAGTCAGGCAATACATCAATGGACTAATGTAATTGACAACTGGACAGGCCTTGGACTACGATCTGGATTAAGTGATTTTAAATGATGTTTTAATAATTAATGTTTAATTGTATGGTTTTAATTGTATTTATTTTTATATTTATATGTATTGGCATTGAATTGCTGCCTGCTGTAAGGGCACCCTGAATCCCCTTTTACAGTGACAAGGGCGGGAGACAAATATGTGAAATGAATAATAAATTGGGATGTAGGACAAGAGACAACTTTGCTTTCCTGTTTTGTCCAGCAGTCACTTAAATCCATTCATAACTATTTTGAAATTAGACTCTGGGTTGTGTCTTTCTCTGGGATAAAAAGACAGTGAAAATAGGTGATCAAAACAAAAATGAGATGGCAAAGGTAATATCTGCAGATATATAAAAATAAGCCAGCTGGTTTGTGGCCCAGTCTTTCTGCTGACTGAGGCACAGGTTTAGTGAGAGCAGGTGAATGAAAACATGGCTGAGAGATTTGTGTAAGTGTGGCAAAGATGTAGGGAAAGTACAAAAAAGCAGCCTTGTTTTTCCTGTGGTCAATTAGGACATTTCCAGAGGGAGTGACCACGTAGAGAGGAGTGGGTTGGAGGAAATGGGAAACCAATAGAGAAGATGGAAGGGGGAGAGAGGATTATACCACTGTATTACTTTTTCAATGAACAGAACATGTAAGGCCTGCAAGATAATTGTGGAAGAAAATTTAAAAAAATTGGGAAGGGTGGGGGGATAAGGGATATTCAACCTAAACAATTGTAGAGATCTTGATAATCATGCTAAGACACATCATCTGTATACAGATCATAGGAGCTTTTTGCCATGAATTTGAGACTTCTCTTCTGAGGTTTTACAAAGCAAATATTCTCTTCGAGTATCTTGGCTGAAATGAAATGAAATGATGTTGGGCCCTCCTTCAGGTGGCCCAAGTTCTGTACCAAAAGCTTTGGCTCAAAGGTATTGCTGGGTTCATGACTTACCTCCTGGTTACCTAATATGCTTTGACCACGGCCTCTAATTGTGGGAATTAAGCAATGTACACAACAAAAATTGCTTTTCCTGACAAGTGTAATACTCACAGGATTTGAATTGTGCAAAAAGACATGATATGGTCATATAGCATAAGCACAAGACCTTGAGGTACACGATGGATACGTACTATACAGGTGGCAAAGAAGCTTGAACCTCTGCCCTTCAACCCACAAAATGCATAATAATATACTGATTATATATTCAATCCTCAGGCAAATTCTGTTTCCTTTTTGGTGAAAATAAATGTGTAAATACTTTATAAATACAATTAGTTAGAAACACCTTCCTGCTTTTCAAATCGTTCCTCCACGACAGAAAACTATATAAATAAAAATGTAATGTTTGTTTGTGGGATTAACATAACTCAAAAACCACTGGACAAATTGACACCAAATTTGGACACTACACCTCTAACAGACCAATGAGTGACCATTACTCATAAAAACACTGAAAAACACAGCAGAAGAGACTTAAAAGACAAAAAACAAAAATTACATTGCAACACATGCACAAAATCACACACACACATATATATGCAAAGACACACATACACATACAAAACACATACACAGACTGGGCCACAGCAACCTGTGGCAAGAGACGGCTAGTTTTAAGTAAATTCTAAAAATGTTCTAAAATAAAATAAAAGGGAAAGCATATACTGAACCTTCAAAAAATTTCCAGGCTTTGTGATTTTTCCCAGGAGTGGACTCGTCTGAAATGTGGGATGAAATAACTGTAAAGGACACAGAAACACAATGGCAAAGATTACTCAGTTACTTTCTTTTTTATCTGAAACGCTCTGCATCAAAGAAGTTCTCAGACTAAGTCATCCACCAAATCAATCCTTGTCTTGTGCTCAAATCTAATTTCAGGCTTTACAGATAATTAGAGTGTGATTCTGCAAGTGCAGGAAAAGTGGACCAAATTCCATTGAAACACATGCCTCTGAACTAGTGGTAATGGATATAGTTTTTTGGGGGAAAAAAACTGGAATACGTACTGCTTGCTAAATTAACTGAGGGTTAAATTATTTATTATTTTTAAAAACATTAATTTTTAAAGAACAGCAGGAAAATGCATAATCCAAATAAAATATATTTTAGAGCAAATCAAAATATGGAAAAAAATAAAAAGTCATAAGGAGAAAAATGTATTGAGTTAAATGCATATTTCCATGCATGACATCTAAGGTGCATGACAGAATAGCTGGAACTTTAGAAAACTAGGATTACAAAAACATTCTAAAATTCATGTGAAAAGGTTTGAAGTTTCCAGAGCATTTCCTTTTAATGCACCACAAAACTGCTTTTATGAGATCTCCCCCTCCCCCAAACATATCATAGAAACTGCAACAGGGATATGCCATTTAAGTTAGAAGAATCATATGTGTAAAGGATGAAACTTGGTTTGAGAGTAAAACAGATAATCATGGACTCACTGAAAGCTGGCCATCAAACTTTTTTCTCCCAATTTTAAAAAGTTGTCCTCATTCCATCATCTTAGCTCCGTCTATCAAGAAACAATGCAGCTAAGAACTGCACTGGGTTTTTTGATTACCATGTCACACTACTGATTTATATTTGACTTGTAGTCACTAGGATGTGATGCCATCAGCCAACCTTAATAAAGCCATATAATTTAAGTACAAGTCATCGTCCTAACCTCTAATCAACCTTAGAGATGGGGAAAACTAACACTTGAATGTCTGGCTAGAATTATGGTGATGAAAATTAACATTTTACTCATGATGTGCTATCTTTTCAAACTTCCCAAAGCGCAAGCTGACTCTTAATACCAGTTTTATCAATTCTAGAAGAAGTACCACTTCTCTAACTCTTAAAATTTAGCAAACTTTCCAAGGCTACTTGATGGTAATTATTGAAAACAATTCCAAAGAGTGACATAGTTATGAGTGAGTACAATGGGACCAAGTAAAAAGTGCTGTAGCTCCACTCAAAATTGTCTGCTTTATTCTTCACAAAGCTTGCAATATTGGTGACATATGGTCTGAGACACGGGTTCTTACATCCAGAAATCCCATCAATAATGGTGCTAACAGTTAAGGCTTTCCTGACTTGGCTGGTATGTGTATTTTGGGTAATAGATAAAAGAGATGCCTAGGGTGTAAAGGTAAAAGTTTCCCCTGGTATTAAATCTAGTCGTGTCCAATTCTGGGGGGTGGTGCTCATCTCCATTTCTAAGCAGAAGAGCCAGTGTTGTCCGTAGACACTTCCAAGGTCATGTGGCCAGCATGACTGCATGGAGCGCCGTTACCTTCCTGCAGAAGCAGTACCAATTAATCTACTCACATCTGCATTTCGAACTGCTAGATTGTCAGAAGCTGGGACTAACAGTGGGAGCTCACCCCGCTCCCTGGATTCGAACCACCAACATTTCTGTCAACAAGTTCAGCAACTCAGCAGTTTAACCCACTGCACCACCAGGGATGCCTGGGGTGTATACATTCCAATTGGGTTCTGTACAGCAGTGGGAAAATATTTGTCCTTCGTATTCATCAATGGGATCATTTCTGGGCCGAGCTAGTTAACAGCTGGTTAATCGCCACCTAATCACCAACTGCAATAGATCACTGCTGACCAGAAGGTGACAAATGTGAAGCCCGAGTCTGATTGAGCATCTGACTGTTAAGCTTAGCTTACTGTCCACCTAAGCAGTTCAAAAATAGCTAAGCTGCGAGCTCGGAGTAGAGAAATTAGGAACCTCTTAAAGAGGGGAGGTAATTTACAACACCATAAAAATGCCAGTGGTCAAAGAGCAAGGAGGAAATACAATCTAATGACTCAGCATCATAGTAGATGAAGTGACAGCTCCCCCCCGTGGCTGGAATCGAGTATAACCTCCAGGGACCAGGCATCAAAGTGGAAATGCTAAAAATACCTCTATCTGTCTGTCTGTATGTCTAGAAAACAGCATTGAATGTTTGCCGTGTTTGTGTGCATTGTGATCCGCCCCAAGCTCCCTTCCTTGGTGAGAAGATCGGAATATAAATATTGTCAATAAATAAATAAATAAATAAATAAATAAACAAACTGGCATGATTGTCTTAATCAAACACGCACCACCAAGAAGGAGCCCCCGGTGGCGCAGTGGGTTAAACCCCTGAGCCGGCAGGACTGAAGACCAACAGGTTGCAGGTTCGAATCCGGGAGAGGCGGATGAGCTCCCTCTATCAGCTCCAGCTCCTCATGCAGGGACATGAGAGAAGCCTCCCACAAGGATGATAAAAACATAAATCATCCGGGCATCCCCTGGGCAATGTCCTTGCAGACCGCCAATTCTCTCACACCAGAAGTGAGCACCAAGAAAGGGACGTAGATAATCATGATCACTGGTTTTGGAACTGCCAAACCAGAGAAAAGTGCTCCTTTAGTAAAGATGAAAACCTACATTCCTAGAAAATGACATTGGCAAAGTCTGGGCATGAAAGGTATAGAACTGGATGCAGTTCTATACCTTGCCTCACTACAACCTTGGCACCAACTCTCACCATGGAAACATACCATGGAAAGTGATTCTCATAGGGAATCCACTATAAAGGTTAATGAAGATTGAAGAAACGCTACCACCTCAAAGACAAGATCACACTTCTCCTGAATACGTCTTGGTGTACATTTGTTTAAAGGCTCGAGCAGAAGCCTGAGGGATTGCAACTTTAATTAAATCCAACAAGCAGATTATTTCCTTTTTTGATGTGTTTGAGAGGAGAGAAAGATGAAACAACATGAGTAAATAGCATTTAAAATTAATTTGGACTTTATTTAACACTGACATATCTATCTGTGGGATCTTTATACAGCATTTTGTAAAAAATATGGCATTGGACACTTGCCCATAAGTCTTCTTTATGCAATCTGATTTGTTCATAATGATCACGACTTCTCCCTTTACAGCCTGTTTTGTAATAATGTTGGAGTTATTTCTGAAACTGGATAGCATCCTATTTTATATAACTACGATTGTGTGATTAGTTACGTTTCTTGGTAATTATATCAGTCCAGTCAGAGGCAAAAGCGTGTTATATAGAAATTCAGTTCCATGATCTGGACTTCCAGAGGCATCTAGTGCTGAGAAAGTATCTTGTGTATTCATCCAAGGTCCATTATCACATTGTGGAGGCTGAGATGATGCTTGTGAGCACTTGTACTGACTGGTGTCACTGTTTCTAATTTATAGATGGTGGAAGAAAGCCTTCAGATCATCACAGAACTGTATTATGTGTGTAGGTTTGAAGGAACAGAAGAACATGCCTTGTGAAAAGTCAGGTTCCTCTGGCTAGTTTAGTGCTTGGTTATATAGATTTAGAAATTATTGTTTTAAGTTCTTAGTGTTCCTGATATGGGTCATTGCAGGCTGAATTAAGTAAGATTGTTTCTTTTCATTGTGTTATTGCATCTAAGGAAGTGGGCTGATATTGCAAAAGCACCATTATTGGATGCAAGGACCTGTTTCTCAGGCCATATGTCCCCAATGTACACACTCATTTTCAGGAACGGGTTAGTTTTAATCATGCTGCTAGAGTCCTTTTTTCCTTTATTCTCCTCCTCCTATTTTCTTTTTAGAATTCAATATAACTTTAAATTACTGGAATACTGGGAGGAAAACAAAATGAACATAAACAGGAATAATGTTAAGTTTGATCAGAAAATGAGATGCTCAAACATAAGGTGGGTGACACTTGAGTTGACACCAGTACATATTTATTTATTTCGTATCAAAAGCATTGCATAAATTAGTACTGATAAAAATAGAAGGAGCGCAGGCGGCTAAATATCTTTTGACCAAAAATGGGCAACAGCAATGGCATTGTCTGTAGCCTCCAACAATTCCTTCTCTATACATGAGGCAGGGCACAGTGGACAAGCATACAGATGCAGAGTTGTCTGTTCTGCTCCACAGTCACATAAGGTGTGGGATTCTTTTAGGTAGTGCCATTTTGCCAAGTTGTCTTTTGTTCTGCCCACTCCACTTCTGAGTCTGTTCAGGGACTTCCAAGTTTATTTACTTATTTACAACATTTCTATCCCGCCCTCTCAACCCCCGAGGGGGGACTCAGAGCGGCTAATACTGGCAACAATTCGATGCTGCAAATATCACAATATAACAACAATAAAAACAATATAAAACCATAAATACGGATGGGATTTGGGGGAGAGTGGCCCAGATTGATGGGAGATGCAATACACCCACATTGTGAAAGAATTGTTAACCCCACCAATGATGTAGATGTACTAAATCTGGAATGCAGGCACATCATGACCAACTGATGGGTTTGGGGGCTGTACGGGTGAGGGGGAATAGACCTGGTGGGGGTTGGGGCCAGATAGACATGGGATGATGGGAGTGGTAGATCACCCACATTCTTATGCATTTCAAATGGGACCATTCATAAAATAAAAAAACAAACAATGACTTTTTTGAATATGTTCTGTATCAGAAACTACACCTGATGTGGTCTATCCAATGCAATTTTCTGAAACAGGACCCCAAATAACCAAACTGAATCTAAAGTTTACCAAAAACTGATTTGTAACCCTTGCGGTACTAATGGTGGAGATGGTCCCTGGTCAAAGTGGTCCCTGGTCAAAAAAAGGTTGGGAACCACTGATATAGTGATTCATGGCAGATAATTCTGTTATCAGTTAACCACATTGCTGAAGAAGATTGATGAACTACAGATAGTCCCCAAGTTACGAACAATATGAATTTTATAGATTTGTTCATAAATTGCATTTGCTTGCAAGTTGGAACAGGTACATTTTTAAGTATAGTTCTGGCCTATCTATATAGATCTGGAAGGGTGAACACCCCTGTGGTGTTTTTTTTTTTCCTGTCTGTGTCCTTGTTCAGAAGATTTCACCTCACTATCTGTCTCTGTGATAATTGAATTTTGGAAAATTCGACTTGTTGTGGAAACAAGGATTGATGATAAAGCCTCAGGGAAGACACCTTTTCCCCATGATAACTCTTCCAGGAGTTAATTTCTCCTCCAAGAGGTAGATTTCTCTCACTTCTTGTTGTCTCACCCCATTCTTAACTATGAGTTGCTTGTAAGTCAGATGCTTGTAACTCAGGGACAGCCTGCATTCCAATTTACAGAGCCTTTATCACTGAATTTCTACATTTGTGATGTATTTCGCAGCACAAAATATATTATTGACTATTTATGGATTTCATTTTCTGGATTAAGCTAACACAGGGAGGCAAGCAGGTATGACTTAGAGAGGGCAGATTACAACAGAAGCTGATATAGTCTCACCTTGGATTTCTGTAGATGCACTGCCATTAGACCATACTGTCCACTTGTTCCTATGCTTGCCAATCTCCTGAACTTTGCATGTATAGTGCCCTTGGTCAGCTTGCTGGAGATTCAGTATCAAAAATGTGTACACTGTCTTATATTTGTCTTCCAAAAGATGAAGTCTTTGTTTATAGAAGTGATGTGTATAATTTCCATAGTACTGGACAACTCCATACTTAGTCATTTTGAGCATCAAATACTCCTTTGTTGGCGGAAGGACAAAGACCCACCGGACAGCTAGCAGATTCTCTAGTCGTCTTTTTTGAGAAACATGGCAAAATAGCGTGGCATTGTCTCCAGCCATGTATAGCAGTTTAGGTCCTGGAGAGACAGTCACATTCAGAGCTTTGCATACCTCTGCAAAAGAGAAAAGAAATGCATTCAAGTTGACTTTCAGTATCGAAAGGAGAAAGGTCTCTGTCTACAATAAATGATGCTATTCCATGAAGATTTTACTTTGGTTCTAAGGAGACCCTATTTTCCCAGAGACAGATGGCGAATAGCAAGATCATCAAATTATTATGTTCTGTATATTTATTATGAGTTTTTTTGTATTGATTTGTTGCAACATTTCGGTGTTGTTATTATCCTGTTTGGTTTTGGGGGCATGGTAATTGAAAAACTTCATCACAACAGAAGTTCTATCTCTATCTCTCTCACACACACATATACACACAGATACAAATTTTTACACATACAATCAAAATATTATTTTCTCTGTAAGGCTGGTGTAATTCTTCTCTAATGCCAGGGATGGCATGCCTCTGTGTATTTATATATTTATTTGTTTGCTTCACTTGTATACTGCTTTTCTCACCCCAGGGGGGACTCAAAGCGGTTTCCAACATATTATGGCAAAATTTAATGCCTCTCATATATGAAACTTAACATAAAATATCAATAACATATAACTATTGCTTAGATCATAAAAACATAGCAACATTTAAACATCAAAATGTGGAGTTAAAAGCATATTAATATAAACATTAAAATCACATAATTCAAAAATCATGGTCCAAGGCCATTCCAAATATCAAATAGCAATTGCACATAATCCCTGATCATTCCTTGTATTGCTTACTGCCCAGAGGCTTGGTCCCATAGCCAAGGTTTTTACTTTTTTTCTGAAAGCTGGGGCGGAGAGGGGCGGGGGGGACAGCCCTGTATCCCCTTTGGGCGCAAATACATCTATATAAATAAAAATGTAATGTTTGTTCGTGGGATTAACAGAACTCAAAAACCAGTGGGCGAATTGACACCAAATTTGGACAGCATACACCTATGTATGTCCTTCACTCAATTTTTTTATTTTGTCATTTGGGAGTTGTAGTTCTTGGGATTTATAGTTCACCTACAATCAAAGAGCATTCTAAACTCCACCAATGATGGAATTGAACCAAAGGTGACACACAGGACTCCCATGACCAACAGAAAACACTAGAAGGGTTTGGTGGGCATTGACCTTGAGTTCGGGAGTTGTAGTTCACCTACATCCAGAGAGCACTGTGGACTCAAACAATGATGGATCTGGACCAAACTTGGCACGAATATTCCATATGCCCAACTAGGAACACAGATGGAGCTTGGGGGAAATAGACCTTGACATTTGGGAGTTGTAGTTACTGGGATGTATAGTTCACCTACAATCAAAGAGCATTCTGAAGCCCATGAACGATAGAATTGGGGAAAACTTCCCACACAGAACCCCCATGACCAAGAGAAAATACTTAAGGCCATTCAGCCCAACTCCCTTCAGCAGAGCAAGAAAACGTAATCAAATGCTGTTTACCCACAAGCATAAAGAAATTACAGATATTAGAAACCAACACTTTCTTATTTCTTTATTTTCCAGATCACCGGACTGGGCCACAGCAATGTGTGGCAGGGGACGGCTAGTAATGAATAAATAAATTGGGGAGGGAGTTCCTTAGTCGAGGAACCACCACAGAGAAAGCCCTGTCTCTCATCATAGATACATCGCACTTCCCTATGTCTTCCCCTCACATCTTTATACATGATGGGAAATGAATTTGAAACAAAGATGAGATATTTACATGCTGCTTGCATGCAAAATGTGTCCACATAATAAATGCTATGCAGATGCAGAAATGTACATCTGTATCTGATCCTTTGAGCTTATGAACTCCACATTGATAGATCCCAAGGGGCCGCTCCCAGCTATGCCGTCTCTCCCTACCACTCCCTCTGACTACAGGCACTCCCCGAGTTACAAACATCTGTCTGACATACTCCAGAGGACAGGATCAGAGTTCAAAATGACCATAACAGATGAGAACTGGGCCAAAACTAACAAAATGAATTTCAGCAAGGACAAATGTAGAATACTACACTTTAGCAGAAAAAAATGCCATGCAAAGATACAGGATGGGTGAAACAAGCATTGGGTTCAAACTATAAAAAAAAAGGAGATTCCACTTGAACATGAGGAAGAACTTCCTGACTCTAAGACCTGTTCAACAGTGAAATTCTCTTCTCTGTCTTGGAGTGCAGTGGAAGCTCCTTCTTTGAAGGCTTTTAAACAGAGGCTGGATGGCCATCTGTGGGGGCTGCTTTGATTGTGCTTTTCCTGCATGGCAGGGGGTTGGACTAGATGGTCCACGTGGTCACTTCCAACTCTATTATTCTATAGAACACAGATGAGACAGCAAGAAGTGGGAGAAATCTGCCTCTCAAAAGAAAAATTCACTCTTGAAAAAGTTTTCATGTGGAAAACATCTGACTTATAAACAACTCATAATTCAGAATGAGGGTGAGACAAAAGGAAGTGAGAGAAATCTACTCCTTGGAAGGGAAATTCACTTCTGTAAGAGTCATGATGGGGAAAAGCTGTCTCCACTGGAGCTTTCTCGCCAAATCCTTGTTTTCACAACATGCCGAATTTTCCAAATCCAGTTCTCACAGGGACAGAAAGTGAGATGAACTCTTCTGAACAGGGGCAAAGGCACCAAAGGAAACACAGGAGGAGTGTTAACCCTTCCTAAGTTATGCAGATATATAGATAGGTAGATTATAAATAGATAGATTAGATAAGACAGATAGAGATGACAGGTAAAGTAAAAGTAAAGATTTCCCCTGACATTAAATCTAGTCATGGCCGACTCTGGGGGTTGGTGCTCATCCCCATTTCTAAGCCGAAAAACTGTTGTTGTCCATAGACGACTCCAAGGTCATGTGGCCAGCATGATTGCATGGAGCACCGTTATCTTCCCGCCTAAGCAGTATCTATTGATCTACTCACATTTCGAACTGCTAGGCTTGCAGAACAGCAGGAGCTCACCCCAGATTCAAACCACAAACCTTTCAGTCAGCAAGTTCAGCAGCTCAGCAGTTTAACCCGTTGCACCACCAGGGGGCCCATAGATAGATTATAGATATATACATAGATGATAGAGATAGATAGATGGATGGATATATGATAGATACATAGATAGATGGATGGATTGATATATGATAGATAGATAGATAGATAAATAGTTAGAGATAGATGATGGATATAGATGATAGATAAAAGATAGATACATAGATAGAGATAGACAGAGATAGATAGATGATAGATGACAGAAATAGATAGATGATAGATACATAGATGGACGATAGATAAATACATAGATATAGATAGATATAGATACATATAAATGATAGATAGGTGACTGATAGATGATATAGATAGATGATAGATACATACATAGATGATAGAGATAGATAGATGAGAGATAGGTGATGAATTGATGATAGATAAGAGATTGTAATGATATATATATGATATATATAACAGGCCCGTAGCCAGGATTTCGTTTTGGGGGGGGGGGGTGAGTTTTTTTCAGGGGGGTTTCGGGGGGCTGAGTTTGGGGGGGGGCTGAGTCTGAGTGAAAGAGGGTCTAGCCTAGCAAACCTTTTGTATCATTACCTCAATACCCCCATGCATATGGGATATATTGAGTATGGTGATCAGATCATGATATGAATAAACATAACAGTTTAAATAATGCACCAGTAAGGCCTTTTCGCGAACCACCATCAGAATTTCGGGGGGGGGGGGGGGGGGGGGGGGGCTGAAGCCCCTCAAGCCCCCCCCCCCCCCCGGCTACATGCCTGATACATACATAGGTAGAGATTGATAGATGATAGATAATAGAGCTAGATAGATAGATAGATGGAGTTAAGATTTTAAAATGTACCTGTTCCGACTTACATACAAAGCCAACTTTGGAACAAGCCTACAGAGCCTATCTGTTCGTAACTCGGGGACTGCTTGGGGAGGAGCCCTTTGGAAGAAGAGAGGGAGATTGGGCCTCTCTTGCCCCTCCAAGGGTGGGTGCTTCCTGATCTTGCCTTCCAATGGGTCCTCTCGCCCTCTTGTCCTACCAGTCTAAGCCTGGCACCTCGCCCCCGCCTCTGCTGGGTCTCTGGGATGGTCTTGAAGGCAGAAGCAAGAGAGAAGCGTTGGGAGGGAGAGGGGAGAGAGGGAGCAACTTCCTTGCTTGCTTCCTTACCGGGCACTGGGACCAGCAGCACCGCCAGGGCCAGGAGGCGCATTGCCGCGGATGCCGAGGGGAAGCCTCCGCTCGCCCTGCCTCCCCTCGCGGCTCCTTCTCCTCCTCCTCCTCCTCCTCCTCCTCCTCCCTTGTCGTGGCTGGTTTGGTCTCCACCCGCGCGCCACTCTTCCCTTCAGAGCCGCGAACAAAGAAGACCCCACTTCGGAAAGTTTCACTTTGCGCGAAAAGGCCCCAGAGGCAGAGGCCACGGAAGCCCCCTCCCTCTCTCCCTCTCTCTCTCTCTGCGGGCGGGGCGCTGCTTTTCCTCCCGTCCAATGGCGTTCCATAGCGAGCGCCCCCTCTCCAAAAAAAGACACGCCCCCTCCGGCCGCCCACGCGCCGCGGCCCAAAAAACAAGAGCGCGCGGGAGAGCGGGGGCTTAGACTCCCCAACCACCTCATCCCATTGAGAGGGGAAAGAATGGGTGACGGTCCCTTTAAGGGAGAGAATCCCCCCCCCCCCCCAATTTGGAGTTGTGGAGGCTTCAGACTCACACATGGAAAGTGAAGAGCTGGGAGTCCCTTCATCAGACATTCATCGGAAGGTCAGTATTACTTTGTTTCTAATCAGGAGAAACAACAGTATCCGAAAACCTAGAGATCCCTTGCTCTTCCCAAAGTCCCTTACGTTAAACCGACACCAGTTTAAAACCAGTTCTTTAATGAGATCCAATTCTGGGCGCCACAATTCAAGAGAGATATTGACAAGCTGGAATGTGTCCAGAGGAGGGCATTAAAATGATCAAGGGTCTGGAGAACAAGCCCTATGAGGAGCGGCTTAAAGAGCTGGGCATGTTTAGCCTGAAGAAGAGAAGGCTGAGAGGAGACATGATAGCCATGTATAAATACGTGAGAGGAAGTCATAGGAAGGAGGGATTGAACTTGTTTTCTGCTGCCCTGGAGACTAGGATGCAGAACAATGGCTTCAAACTCCAAAAAAAGGAGATTCCATCTGAACATGAGGAAGAACTTCCTGACTGTGAGAGCCGTTCAGCCATGGAACTCTCTGCCTTGGAGTGTGGTGGAGGCTCCTTCTTTGGAAGCTTTTAAACAGAGGCTGGACGGCCATCTGTCAGGGGTGCTTTGAATGCAATATTCCTGCTTCTTGGCAGGGGGTTGGACTGGATGGCCCATGAGGTCTCTTCCAACTCTATGATTCTATGATCCTATAGTTCTGTATCAAAACCCATAGGATGCAAGAGGCAGGGTTTTGTTTTGTTTTTTCGCGTCAGAAGTGACTTGAGAAACTGCAAGTGGCTTCTGGTGTGAGAGAATTGGCCATTAGCAAGGCAGTGATCCAGGTGAAAACTATTGATTTCCATGGGATCCTATGGTTCTGCACCAAACCCCATAGGATACAAGAGACTGCAGGCAGTTGGGCAATGAAACTGGAGGGGAAACTTTGATGGCTGCCATCCCACCTGTTTTTGCAGTTGTAAAGATGGGAATAAAGTGCGATAAGAGGTAGGAGCTTTGAACACAATTGCTGGCCCATGTTCAGAGTTCCCTCCTTTCAGGACATTTCTGCCTCTTTTCAACCTTGAAAGATGTGATGAGCTCCATGCCTCTCCATCCTTGAAAAGTGGCTGAAGTGTCCTGGGGGGGATTTCTCAATGTGATGAGGTCAGATTGCCAGAGTTTCTTCCTTTCAGGACACTTCTGCCTCTTTTCAATCATGGAGGGCTATGCATTATGGCCGGAAGTATATTTAACTTGTGTGAGCTCCCTGCCTCTCCATGTTTGAAAAGAGGCTGATGTGTCCCGCAATTGGGACATTTCTCAATGTGATTTTCAGTGGGCAAGCAGTGGCTTAACCCCTCCCTGTCTAGCCCCTTTTTTGCAGCCAACCTCTACATTGTGCCTGGCACAGACCAAAAGAGGATTGGCCATGTTCTAGAAGCATTCTCTCCTGACGTTTTGTCCACATCTACGGGAGGCATCCTCAGAGGTTGTGAAGTCTGTTGGAAACCAGGCAGGTGGGGTTTATATATCTGTGGAATGTCCAGGGTGGGAGAAGGGACTCTTTTCGGCTTGAGGCAAATGGGAATGTTGCAATTGGCCAGCTTGATTAGCATTAAATAGCCTTGCAGATTTAGAGCCAGCTAACACCTCCTAACAAAAAATTCCCCCAGGCAGGAAGCAGCCAGGCTTTGAAGCTGCAAGGCTGCCTAATTCTAATCAATGTGGCTAATTGCAACATTTACACTTGCTTCCAACAGACAAGAGTTCTTTCTCCCACCCTGGACGTGTCACAGATATATAAACCCCACTTGACTCGTTTTGAACAGACCTCACAACCTCTGAGGATACTTGCCATAGATGTGGGCAAAACATCAGGAGAGAATGCTTCTGGAACAAGGTCTTCCAGGCCAGAAAACTCACAGCAACCCAGCGATTCCAGCCATGAAAGCCTTCGACAACACATCGAAAGAAGATTCCAGATGCAGGTCTTTCGCATGGAAGCAAACCAAGATGGATCCATAGCAATAGCAGATGATGTTTGCAAGGAGGACATGGCAGACCAGGAAAGGAACTCTGTAACATAACCATCCTAACCCCCACAACTTCCTGTAAAGTTCTTATTACACAAATGCCAGGTGCTCAAGGCCAATGCTTCATGTTCCACTCGTGATCCCTTATCGCCGGAGAAACTTTTACACAATCCAGGTATTATCTATACCATACAGGCAGCTCGCCGAGTTACAAACATCTGACTTACAAACTATTCATAGTTAAGAACAGAGGTGAGACAACAGGAAGTATAAGAAATCGACCCCCAGGAAGAGACATTCACTCCTGGAAGAGCTGTCATGGGGAAAAGGGGTCTCAACTTAAGTTTTATCACCAATCCTTGTTTCTACAACAAGCCCAGTTTTTCAAAATCCAATGATCAAAGGGACAGAAAGAGAGAGAGTGCTTTGGACCAAATAGGGAAGAATTGACACCAGGGTTTGTTTTGCTGTCTGTGCTCCTGTTCAGAAAATTTCATCTATATACGGTATATGAGATAGATAGATAGATAGATAGATAGATAGATAGATAGATAGATAGATAGATAGATAGAAAGATAGGGCTGGAGTTACACTTAAAAATGTACCTATTCTCACTTACATACAAATTAAGCCTAAGACCAAACCTACAGAACCTATCTTGTTTGTAACTTGGGGACTGCCTGTATATCTATATTGTATATGCATGTGTGAAACCATGTATGTATATTTGTACCACAAAGGCTCCTATGTGGCTTGATGGATCCGAACCAAACTTGGTACACATACCCTTCATTATCCAACCCAAAATATGTACTAGCAGACTTGACGTGTGCCAAATGTGGTCCCGATCTAACATCTAGGAGCCTTTGTGGTACAAGCATACGTACATATTTCCACTTTTATATGTATAGATGAAAGCATTTTTTGTACTAACAAAAGGGATGTGCAGTAATTCTTTATTTTTACACACAGAATAAAATCTTAACTGAATATCTTCAACATTTTTCATGCCATGCTGGCATGCTTGGTTTGCAACTTCAGGTGGCAGCTGAAATATTTGCTGCTAACAGATTCATGTAAGTGTCTAAAACAGCCACTAAGTGGCAAGCTGCACACATTTTTGTGGTCCCCAAATTCTGTTAGGGGACCCCAAATGGGATTGCAATCCACAGTTTAAGAAGCTATGCTCGAGTCTGGGCTACTGCTTCTTAAACTGTGGGTCCTGACCCTAAATGGGGTCCCTTAGGTCAATATTACACAAATTTGGCAACATTAAAAAAGTTTTTTCATCGCCACCCATTTACACAAACACTGCTGTGTTTACAGTGGGCTCTGCAGAAAATGCTTCAGCTGTACTTCACAAGAAGGAAAACTAGGCCTGTTTAGCAAATCTGGCAAATTCTGATTTTATGCCTATTTTGCCTTCCTATAGAAATAAGATCTCAGAAAAATAAATTCAGACAAAAAGGGGTCGTGAGTACAAAAAGTTTACAAAATCCAGTTCTATGCTACATTTCAGAGGAAGGAACTGTCCAAACCACTTCTGAATGTTCCCTACTTAAGAAAACATGAAATCTACATATTCCTTGCCTAAGAAAACTATGAAATACATTGGGTCACAAGTTGACTTGACAGTCAACTTGAAGGCACATGGTCGTACATTCCAGTTTCCTAGTGGCAATAATGGCCGTTAACTTCTCCCAGATGAATAAATGTCATGATGGATAACCAAAAAGGAAATAAGTCAAGTAGAACATTAGTGTTGAAAAGTTACATAGCTACAACTATAATCTGCATGCGGAAAAAATCAGGAAGCAAACTGTTCAGCACCCACCATTTCTTTTAAAGGGTAATTGCTTCTCTAAACAGAAGTTGTCTACTCCATTCTTAGAGTAGGAAAATATTATGGAAGGAGTAATTGAAGTAAAGATTGGTAATCACAATGTTTGGTGCAGTAAAAACACATGCTTCCCATCATGTGGGAGGCTCTCTCTGTAAGCAAACTGAAGCATATTTTTTCCCCAACATTAAATTTAGGACAGACTGGAAAACCTGTCAGACCCATACTTAAAACACTGACTCATGATATCTCGCAGGAAGTCCTGAGGCTGAGCACAATCCATTTGGAATAATTCCAGTGGAGAAAACCATCAGGGTCAAACTGCACATTATGTTTAACCATGCTTTTGCCAATCTAGGGCCCCTTCCACACAGCTGAATAAAATCTCACATTTTCTGCTTTGAAGTGGACTCAGATAACCCAGTTCAAAGTAGGTATTATGGGATTTTCTGCCTTGATATTCTGGGTTATATGGCTGTGTGGAAGGGCCCTGGATCATACAGCAAAGTCAGTTGTAGTGTCCCATAGGGGAGAACCTGTATACCTTATCCTTTTAACCCTAATTTGCTGTAGTTTATACGACACAAGGACAGCATGTCTTATTTGAAACCACTTTCTCTAACCTGGGGAGTCGGGACCCTGGGGGAGTTGCAAGGCTGTTGCAGAGGGGTCGCCAAAGACCATCAGAAAACATGTATTTCTGATGGTCTTAGGAACCCCTTGGCAAAGAAGGCTGAAGATCTCTTGGACTGTCTTTCTCTTCCTTTTTGGAAACAGATGGCAAATCCTCCCACCATAACCCCTCCTCCGCTGTGATTGGCCAGCCTCTCAGCTAAGGGAAGGGCTGTTTCTGAGACTCCAAGCAGAAAGGGGAAAGCAAGCGTGCTTGGTACATGGCAG